ATGCCTCCCGTCATGCCTGCTCTCAGGCCGCACGGGGCAGGCTCCCTGCGTGGTACAGGGCAGTCCCGGGTATCCTTCGTTCATGCTTTTTATCCCATGACTCCTTAAAACAAAATGCTCAGAGCATCCTGGGAGCAGGGACCAAATTCAGGCTGTCCTTGAGTTGGAGTCAAGGATGCTCCAGCCTTGGCCTTCAAATGCGTCTCCCGACACGACGTGCCCCAGCCCAGGGGCGAGCTGAGAGAGAGCCCGTGCCACTGCAGGGCAGCCCGCTCTGCCTCGGTGGCCTCTGCCACTCCTCAACTCTTTCAACTGCTGGTTATTAATTCAATATGAGCCTTTGAGTTGTGGATATAATTCACATTTAATCTGGCAATGGTTTACAACATCACACAGTATTGTAGTGAAGAGGAAAAATCAATGTGTCCAGCGACGATTACTGCAGCATAACGAACTCCAGGTAGGACTAAATGAAACCCAGTTCTACAGTGGGCCCAAGGATCACTAAATCCAGGCTATTTTAGACTCAAAAATAGATGACGTTGTGAGTGGACTGGAATTTGTTTAAAAGGACATTAACCTCTTTGGTAGCAGCCGGTCCTCTCCACCGCCAAGCATGAAAAGCCCCAGAAAGACTGATAGCTTTACGAAATGAAGCATGTCTATCTCCAGCTTCACGTGTGTTGCATTCAAGTAAGACAAAGAGGCAAACAGTGACAAGTAATTGGACTTTACTGATTTTTTTTTTACTTTAATAGTCTAACATATTGTTAATAACATAGTTGGCACTTCAAAAATATATATTATTTTATTTCAACAATATTCCCTTAACTCTGTAGTTGTACTTGATGAAAAATCACCTTTTGCCATAAATACTGTGTTGCTGTTCAAAACACTCTTGTCTGTCTGTGCTAGGTTACCCCTACAGCGCAACTGGGACCAGGCTGACATTTACAATGGTTTCTACTGCCACTTCCTCCATGTAAAAAAAGACGTTTTTTTCTATAAAAACACAAACAAAGAAAGTTTTACTGCATTAAAAAGAAACCCTACTGTCAGTTGAGCGTATTTCCACTGTCATCGGCAAAAGACATCCTCTGAGGTCCCCGTGAGTGGGTTTCACTTTGGGTTAGAGGGAAATCTGCCGTTCGGCAGCTTCTTTCTGCTTCACAGGACGAGAGCCAGGCTTTGAACGCAAAGCGACCTGGCTGAGAGCCAGGCACACAGGCAGAGTAGTGTTCATGTATTTTTTATTATAATACAAAAGGAAAGTCGAGTTATATAACACGGGCCTTTGTAGTGCAGCTTTCTTTTTTAATCTGTAACAGATAAGAGAATTGTGTCCCCGTTTAAGACTTCATATGGTGAAAGATGGCTGGCATCTTAAATTGCAAGAAGTCCCCTGGCATCTGGCCACCGATTTCAGTGGTGGGGTGGATTTTTTCTTGCACAGATGTTGAGTGTTTTGTCCAGATGTCTGACCAAACCCACTTCAAGAGCTGTACTTTGCTAAAAAGGAATCCCTATCCTCTCTCTAAAAGCAGAATTAAAAAATCACACTAAATAAAGTGAACTAAAAACACAGCTGGATTGGTCAAACAGGTATAAAAAGATTAGTCTCAACAGCAGCATTAGGATGTTTCCAGCACGCAGAAGGGAGAAGGTCGATGGCTATTTCACATCAGGGGTCCTATGGGGCACCGTGTGCTGCTCCAGAGACGGCACTGGGGATTTGACGGGACCCTGACATTGGCAGGCTTCGCACGCTGAATTCCTTCTAGGTCTGTAACGAGGTCCTCTGTGCCCTGAAAGAGCTGAGCTGCTAATCACAGTCCTGGATATCGATGTACACAAAGAGGGTGGAGGAGGAGTACGGGTCTCCGTTCTTGGTCAGAAGGTGGATGTGGCGGTAACCTGGAAGCAGAGACACAGATGGAAAGTGGCCTTTAGTCCAGTCAGAAGAACATTCGCTAACATTTGCCAAGACCCTGCAAAAACATCTCCCTGTTGCTGAGAGCGTTTTGCTGCTGGTACCCTGCAGAACAGGCAGGTCTGAGAGACATGGCTTTGAGCCCGAGGCCACTGGTGACAAGGGGATCCCTTCCCCATCTGCCCAGTAACCCATTTATCATCTTGCCCATACCCCAGACAGACAACCTGTTCTGACCCGAGGTGTGATGGGTGTGGACCTCTCATCTAGGACACTGGAGCTTCCCA